CACGCTTAGGCTGTGCTGCTATGTCCAAAGTTATAGAGTCAAGGAATGTAAGGTGATCATGGTGTTCTCATAGTGACGATTGATGATTCGAGTCCTTCATGAGAGTAGCCTTGGACTGCATGGACTGCTCGGAGTATTCCAAGCGAGCCGTCAGGATATATATAAAGTGTACGGAGACCCGTAAGATCCTCAACAAAATGTGCACAATGCAACTCATTCCGTCCACTCAGCACACAACACTAGAAATAGTTACCGCCTATTCACTATCAATGCAGTAGCATTGTAAAAAGCCCATATCGAGAAGAATCACCATCGAATCGGATTGGTTGTATTCCAAGTCCATCAACTCTCGTTTATTGAGCTCTCCGTTTTTGCCCCTGGCCATAGATCATTAAGGGTGCACAAGAACGCTCATCCGAACATCAGCAACAGAAAAATTATCTATAGAAACACCATGTGGAGAAAAGGAGTCCACGGCAGAAGACAATACTAGTCTGGCCCGAATGGGCGGTAGCAAAAGAGTAGAAAGGAAGGTCAGCAGTGAGGTATCGAGCGAGAAACAGAAAAGAAAACGAGTTTCAAGAACAAAACAAAAATAGACGATTTCATGCATTCATCGAATCATCGTGCGGCCGTGAGGTATTGTTGCTGCAAAAGCCCAGGATCAGCCGTTCCAAGTCTGAGAGCTTGTACGGCTTGGTCATGTAACCCTTCATGCCAACCTTCGTGGCACGGTTTAGAGCCTCGTCTGTGACATCGGCACTGACAGCCAGGACTGTGGGAGGTTGTGTGTCGGTAAGGTGCTGGTCAGTCTGAGCGTCGGAGGGAATGCTCCGGTGTTCATCAACCATCCGTAGAATCTTAGAAGTGGCCTCGTAGCCATCCATCTCTGGCATCCAGAGATCCATCAATACCACGTCCACTAGTTTTCGTGTCCTGGTTTGACTGGGTGGTTTGGGAACTGTGAAGCCGTCGGACTCATTCACTAGTTTCGAATCCTGACTCGAGCTTTGTTGACCGGGACGCTGTGCCCCAAGAACATCGTGCATGATGCGGACAGCTTCCTTGCCGTTACAGGCCTCATATATGTCTTTGTAGCCAAGTCGCTTCAACATGTGCACTAAGACTCGCCGGTTGATTTTGTTATCCTCTGCCACCAGAAACGTCAAGGGATGTTTCTCCCCGAGACGGCTGTCGTGAGTATCACCGTTGATGTGGCGTTGTGGTGGTGTGCTCCTGGGAGGCGGAGGCGCAGGCGTTGTAGTCAACGACGCTGGCTCATCAGTCAGAAACGGAGATGGTTGCTGGACCTGTGAACCAGGAGTCCGCGGGGTAGGCAACAGTGAGGAGAATTCCGGCGTGATAGTGCTCGCATTGGTCAGCCGCATCGTCTCAGTGAGCTGGGGAGGTGTGAGCAGTTTTGGAGGCAGCAAAGGTCGGTCTGCTGAAGGCTCAGGCTGATTGGCGGGGATTCTAATCTCAAACTCCGAGCCACGATCCGGCCCCGATGTCGAGGAGCGAACACAAATAAGATCACCGCCCATTTTCCTAGACAGCCCCTTGGCCACAAGGAGACCCAAGCCAAGCCCATCTTTGCTGCGGGTAGTGGATGTGTCTTCACGGGCGAATGGCCTGAAAAGTTTGGGTAAGAAATCATCCGGGATACCTGGGCCGGTGTCCTTGATGCTTATCAAGACATCGTTCGCCTTGCGGCCAACCGTGGCAGTCACTGTGATCACACCGCTGTTGGTGAACTTGACAGCATTGAGAAAGACACACGATATCAACTTGGCCAGGTCCCGGTCATCCACGAATAGAGTCTCTGGAAGGGCCGGATCGACAGACCAGTCGATTGTCTTCGAAAAGACCTCGCCATTGGATGACCGCGAGCGGACTTCAATCCTCTCACCTTGCTCTGTCGCGTTACTCACAGCAAAGTCGGGTCGACCACCCACATGCAAGGACTCGTTGATGACTAGGCGGAGTAGATCACGGAGTTTCGTCATTCTCAGAGCCGGAACTTGCTGATTGACATTGATGCCCTCGAGTAGCAAGTGGGGTGCCGAACGCCGAACAGCTAGAGACGGACGGGGATCAACCACGTTCGCCATCACTGCTTCAATCTCGTGAGCGGGAGTAGCCTTGAGCAGTTTTTCACTTTCGTGAACCGCATTTTTGACCTCTTCGCTGCGAGGCGAAAGGCCTCTGGGAGCGGAAACCCGCGGCGCTTTTGACTTTGGAGGCTGACCAGCGTTCCAGTCTGGAGGGTTACTGCGTCGTCGCTTGTAAGGATTAACTGTGATGTTGCTCCTTTCCCCGAAAATGGTCTGTCGACCCTCGCTCGCACCAACCGGGCTCTGCGACTGACCACTGAAGAAGTCGTCCCGTTCACACTGGGGGGTTTTAGGGACCTGCATGTTCATATCGTAGGCATGAACAACATTATCTGCTGCCTCGACAGCTCTGCGTGCGCTATCTGTACCACCCAAAACATTGGAAATCAGCACGAAGTTCATATAGGCGATGGGGGACGGAGACTGACCTTGGACCATCTCAATACTCTCCTTAAGGGTGCGAAAGACAAATCCAGCCTTCGGCGATGGCTTGTCTTGGATGGCTTCGCGTACCGTGGCATGCATGACGTCCAGCATCCCGACCACGCCCTGCATCGGTGTCCGAAGCTCGTGAGACAAGCTCCTCGCATAGGGCTTTAATGGCTGCGATGAGAAGTCTGCAGATCCATGGACAATCCCGATATTCACATCGCCGACAACGCATGTCTTGCCTTGAGAAAAATCGGTGCTCTCTTGACCGGAGTTTACAGTAACTGTGGGGTCCACGTCGTCGCAAATCCGCTGAACAACCAAGTCTTCAAGAGAATACAAGATCATTTCGAGAAGCGACCACGAAAGATTACGCTTTTGCAAGCCCGGTTCCGACCACATGAGTCCAAAAAATGCAAGACACTTTGTTCCTGAGAAGAGCGGTACAGCCAGGTATCCCTCGGCGGCAAATGGAAGCTGGTCCCGGTCAAAGGAGATGAAGGATCCTAATTTCTCAGGGATTAGACATGGCTTCTCACGGTCCATGTGCGAGAGAGGATTTCCGCCAGCGAAGTACCTGCGTCTGTGCATGCCTGCTGTGCGGTGTCCATCATTATAATAGAAGGCGGTACCAAACAACATCGTTTTGTGGCCTTCTATCTCATTCATGGATTCGTCGTCCCGAGCTCTGCGAGCGACGAAGACATATTGAGCCTTGCATATAAGACTTATTTGCTCCATTAATTGATGCCAGAATTTTTCCGAATCCAAGGGACGAAGCTCTTGCTTTAGCTTCACCAGCCTTTCAATTGCGGAACTCTGGGGTCCACCGATATATCGGCGACCGGACGAATCGGCCTGCGCATCGTCGTCAAGAAAGGTAGCTGCAGGCACATCACCGGGAAGGCACTGAGTCGGGAGCAAAGACATGGTAGGACCAGATGCGAATGAGGTTGACCATTCGGGGTCCGCTGAGTCGGGCATGGTGTCCCGAGGGGGTTGATCGCCCTGCGTGGATGGAATTGTTGATGTGTCCAAAACAGATTCCACCGCGAGCGAGACTTAGGGTCCTGGCAAATTATAATATAGGAGGGCGCCAGGAAACAGAAGGAGATTGATGAAAGATCAGCGAATTACGACCGGATTCTATGGAAGGGACACAGCGCATGGCGTTCGGTCTGGGGTTGTCCAGAAAATGTTAGCAAGCGGGGATCACGAGCAAACAAAGGTGCTTTCAACCAGGTGTTCTCCGCGGAGCACATCCCGGGCAATTTCATGCTAGAACTGGTCAAGACATACATCACTTAAGCTGGTCGAGTCGAAGCCCACGCTGAGCGACACCGCGCGGCGGTGGAAGGGAAAGTTGAGGGAAGAGCAGGCAGCTGCTGGCAATTGAAATTTCTGCAACAAGGCTGCTAAGAGGAGATATTTATCGGTGAGATGCCAGGCTGTTATTGAGAGCAATCGAGGTTCTTGTTTTCTGATTGTTCTGGAAACGTTGAAGTTTTCCCTGTTTTTTGCTTCCGTGTTTTGACTCTGAAGTTTCTGTAGGGGAATTGGCGGATGTCTCGGTCTAAAGTGCCGAACCAGCGTTGGTGATTCTAACTGTGGTGAAAGATTGGATATTCCAGAGATCTGCTGACAGGATGTTCAATTGTTGAAAGCCAAGATCGGTCATTGACACGAACAATCCGCGGTTGAGGGGCAGCGCAGAAAGGGCGAGAGAAGGCCAGCATGCGAGAGATGATGGCACGGGGACAGGGAAACTCGGGGGAAGAAAGTTTAGGGGACAAGCGAGAGGAGGTCCAGAACAAGGTGGGGAAAGCAAGTATTATCAGATTGGAAAGAGACACAAAAGACTACTTGTAGTGGGTTAGATGTAGTTCATGGTGCTAAGCCGGTTAGTATAGTAGCCAACGTAGGGAGATTGAGGAGGAAGAGGAAGTTCGAGGTTCGAGGTTCAAGGTTGGAGAGGAGTTGGCAGGCATTGGCATTGGGAAGAGGGGAAAAGAAAGTGACTGAGAAATCGATGGGGCCAGTTTGGGCCGATCGCCGGGTCTAGACGCGGGGAGGCTGAAACTTCCCCCCTTCTTTTGCTTCGTCTGTTCATCGTCTTCATGTCAGTTGATTGATATCTTCACCAATTTCTCCCCGAAACCCAACGACATGTACAGGAGAGTACGATCTACTTTCTTTCTTGTTTACTGGAGGGTGACCATGGATGAGAAACTATAAGATGGACCCATCAACAAACGATTTCTAGGCAATGGACGACCGTCACTTGATGTCTCCGGGGCTTCAATCCATGGACCGACCGACCATCTGCCGCTTTTCCCGGCCCAGACTTGATTGACTCTTTCCTCGACCGGCACTCTCTCTCTCTCTCTTCACACCTTGTGCGGCATATTCCTCCCTCCTGTAATATCGCAGCGTTATAGCTGGTCATCGTCTGCAACTCGGAGCAACCGGACGAAGCAAAGGAAGTGAAAAAAAAAAAAAAAGCCAGAACTGATCTGCCACAAAAGACCGAGGGAAGATGAAAGGACAAACAAAATGTCGGACGAGGTCGGATGATTCGTTTATTCGGAGGTTCATAGAGTCAGGTGCGCCGTGAGTCAGGTCTGTGATCTTTGTGTCCTTCATGACCTATGCATATCCCACAAAGGGAACGGAGATAGAGTCAATTACTCCTTGTCCCATTGCGCCCCACGCTGCTCGTCGAAGACTGGTAGATCCCCTGATACCCCTCGACAATTTCCCCCAGTTCCTCGAAGACAATCTGAGCGAGCTTGGCATTTCGGTACAGCACGACTCCATGGGGGTTCTTCACCTCCAGTAAAGCTCCCATTGCACCCTCATACCCAGCGTCGACCACTCCGGCCGCGATCCCCACGCCCGACCGCCAGAGCGACGATCGGGGGAATACGCTCCCCATGCAATTCCGTGGGACGTGGACGGTCTCGTTGAAGTCGACTAAGTAGGCGCCTGGCTGTAGTGTGATCGCGTGGCTGGTGGTGTCGAAGGGCAGGCTCGACGTCTGGGCTGCTTGACGCTTGGTATTGTCGAAGTCAATGGTGGCCGCGGAGGTCCATTTGGAGACCTGGCGTAAAGTAAGGTCGACTCCGCACGGTTGTCGTTGCTGGGGAACATGCCGTAGGTTACGCACCAACTGGCGGGTGACGACTTCGAGTCCGCTGAGAATCATGATGTAGTCTCGCGCTTTTGGATTGGGTCCGAGTAGCCTGAGGGCTGCGGACTGCGAATGCTGATATGCTTGCTGTAGCTGTTTGGAGGAGGGTAGAGATAACGAGGTAGTGTAGTGTTTACTCAGGGGAGGGCTCACTAGTTTAGATTGACTAGGGTCCTAGGGAATCTGAGAGGTCCTTCCTGTGGACTATGTGACTATGTGATGGATCTCGCTTTGACACCACTCATCTTTCGCCCTTCTCTCCCTTGAAAGATAAACATCAAGCATGGCCTTGCCGATTAGTAGCTGTATTTCGCACGCTGAGTCCAATCATCGTCCAATTTTCCCGCATGTTAGCCTGCTGAAAGCTTCCCAAGTCATTCTTGTTGTAATGGCTATACCTCTACGAAGTCATCTATCACGAACCAGTGCAGCGTTCAGGTGCATGCGAGCCGAGATTAGCATGCCGCAAGCCAGCTAGCTCTCCTCCATCTTGTCAACAGACCCTGATCTACTTCACCTCCTTCCCAGAACGACGGGAACACATGCATATCTGAGGTTCCACCTACAGTCCCAGCCGGTGACAACGTGACTCTAAGCCGTCCTCGATTAGGAGGTCGGGGCCGTGCAACTCACAGTTGCATACAGGGTAGAAGCTTACAGTTCCCCACCAACAGCCGAACCAAGGATGCATGGAGCAGTGGCTGACCTCGGGAGTAAGTACCGACGCACCAGCATCGGGAGATGCTCGGATCACACGCCTATCGTCTGGTACTAGAAGCCGGTACCTGGGAGTAACATGTGGCGCGGTTTCTGCAAGAAGAGTTGATCGCGGCTAGACCGCAAGCAATTAGGATATGCGTGTCATTGTCTGGACTCGCACACTCTCTTAGCTCTGCCTCAGCAGTGTTGACCGCGCCTAGAGGGGGAAGGGAGGATGGATGGATGGGTGGAAACGTCATATTAGAGAGCAGACAATGAGCATAACTGCAGCAGGGGAAAATAACACAAATTCATGATCCAAGTAATTGTCTTGTCTAATCCTGCCTTCCCTTCAATAGTCTCTTGGTAACCTTATCTTTCTCTATTATGTAAACCTGTGCACCCCAACCGGAAAGAGCGTCTCGGTCGACCGCACTGAGCAGGGCTTGGGAGATGGTCTCGAACAGGTCCTCCGGAGCCTGTCAAGGGCAATCAACCCCAGTTAGCAACTGATCCGACAAGATTACCCAACCGAGGCATAAAGACACATACCAAGTCCGGCTCCCACAGACCCTCGCAAGTACCGAACAGCTGATCACTGGCGGTTCCGCTCACAATGAAGTCCTTGGCGAAATCGATACACCCAATGCTGTCGAACCCGCAGATGAAGGGCTTGCCCGTTGTGCTGTTGATGCCGGCAATGACGGGGCTGACGAAGAAAGGACCGAAACGCTTCTCGTACAACGAAGAGCTGACCAGGTTGGCCAGGGTCTGGGGCGCGATGTTCCGCTCCTCGCGGAGACGGTACATGTTCACTTTGAAGCGGAAAAGGTCGGACACGGTCGCCACATCGGTCGCCAGACCCGTCAAGCCGAGGAAGGTGGAGGGGCCGTAGTTGAAGATCTTGGGGAAATTGTTGGAGACGGTCAAGGCCTGCATGCCCAGGCGGAGATCGCAGGCGATGGCAACGCAGTCCTTACCCACCATGGCGACGCAGGCACCGCCATCTGCGCAGCTGGGGGTCAGTCATTGAAAAGATCATCGGAGTGTAGATTATCGAGGGTACGCACTGATATCGAAGGGAGAACTCTGGTAGAAACGGTTCGGTCAGCATGCTTGCTCAGCTCAGAGTGTTGAGGTCACGCAGGGCCAACTTACCATGATTGGGGTGAAATTGTGGGTGATTCAGGCGACACAGAGGTTGTAAAGGAATGAACTGGAGTAGAGAAGGTAGAGGTAGAGAGAAGGAGGAGTAACAGCGAAGCAGAGATGAAGGGGAGGAGGATGGTTGGGAGGGAGAATGGATGGGCGGAGGATGGATGGAGATGGACGGAGTTGAACTGAAGCTCTGCCAGCAACGCGTGGAGCCGCCGAGCTTCTTCCGATGACGCTTGCGCCCGCTGCCTACAGTAACTACAGTACACTCTCACCTAACTCAGCTATCTCAACTTCGGTTTGTCAGCCTTCAACCTTCCTTTCTCCTGTATATCTTGGTTCAAGGTTGACTAATATCTATCTGTGGTTTATGACTTAACCGACAGACACAAAACAAGCACCGTTGAACTTCTCTCCAGCTATCCCAGCAGGCCTGCTGTTCTTTTTCGACTTGATTACCTCAACTGCCACACCCCGCAGCCTCGCATCATGAGCTCGCATGTCGTGGTCCTGGACTCGACAGCTCGAAGGGCTACTGTCAAGACTACCCCGGGCAAGCATCTGACCGACATACTGCAAGAGGCCTGCACCAAGCTTGGTGTAGATCCCAGTCAACATGGGCTAAAGTAAGACTCCCGCCATAACACAGCCCCGCCATAGTATCGAATCTATAGACCGTTGTGCATTCAACTGACACCGTCTTTTTCAAGATACAAAGGTAAAGAGCTCGACATGTCGCTCGTCTTTCGACTGTCAGGACTTGCCTCCGGTGCCAAGTTGGAGCTGGTCCAATCGTCTCGATCCCCCTCGGTCGTCACAGTCGCGTTACAACTCCCCGAATCAGAAGCACGGGGAGCTCCCAACGGGCGGCTCATGGACAAGTTTCCCAGCACAACAACAATCTGGTTCATCTTGCGCAAATTTGAGGCGGGCGTTGCTGGCGGTACTTCGACCCGCAACCTGACCGGTCGCGGTGTACCAAGTGGCAACGAGGGCGCAGGTAGACTGTATTACGAGACGCCAGTAGTCCAGGTCCTACAACGGGAGCTGTCCTCTTTTGCAGATTTTCAAAAGTCACTCGCACAACTTGGTTTCAACAGCGGCAACGTGCTACTAAGGCTCAGCTTCCGGCGGACGGAAGAGCCATTGGAGGAAGCGATGGTCAAGATCCAGGAATACTTCCAGACCTCCGAGGACCCAGCCCCAAAGCAAGAGGAGGTGCCTGCATCTGCAGAAACGCCGCTGGAGAATGGTGTAGCTGTTGAACAGCGGGATTCCGAGCCTGAGCCCAACCTCGGATCTACATCAGCGGCGGCATCAGCACCAGAACAACCTACTGCCCCTGCCCCTGCCCCTGAACCCACCATATCGGCTTCAGATCCATCAGAGGTCCCCGCTGGTTTCTCACGCCCCGTGACCGTCTTCTCCCCTCCATCTGGCGACACGCCGCAGTCCGCGCAAACTACCTACAACGAAGCCGATTACATCCCATCCCTGGATCATGCACAAGCCCACCAACGCCGCCTCAACGCCGCCTCACGACCCCAGCGACTCCCCACGGATGCCGAGATCGCCGCCAAAGCGGCCGCCGAGGAGGAAAAGCGGGCCGCCATCGCCGACGTAGAGGTGAAAGTCCGCCTGCCCGACCAAAGCCAGGTCGTGGCCAAGTTCGGCCGGGAGGACACGGGACGGACGCTGTACGACTTCGTGCGCAACTGCCTGGCCGCGCCGTTTGCTAGCACAGAAAGATTCGTCATCACGTCCCTCCCCGCGGGCTCGCGCGGCGGCGGCGGCGGCGGCGGCGGCGGGAACGCTCGAAAGATCCAGGAGGTGATCCCCGACTCGGACCAGACGCATCTGATCCGAGACCTGGGCCTGGCGGGCCGGGTGCTGGTCAACTTCAGCTGGGATGAGAGTGCTTCCCAGGCGGCTCACGCGAGCCGCGAGCTCCTGAAGCCGGAGTTGCGGACCCGGGCTCAGGAGATCAAGGTGGAGCAGCCCCCGGAGGTGAAGGAGACCGCCGAGGACGCGCGTGGTCGGGCATTGGGGACCACGGGCAATACTGAGACCAAGACGGGCGAGAAGCGGAAGCCCGGTGGAATACCCAAGTGGCTGAAATTGCCAGGCAAGAAATAAGGGGATCAACGAGAACGTTGTTGTCGAAGTTCGAACATAGATAATGAATGAAATGCTTCACATGATTGTATGATACTGACATGGTCATCGATTACGAGTGGTAGTTGCGAGGATATGACTTTAAGATCTGTTTACAAAGTTGACGTGACTCAAAATTACATGATCCGGTGGGAAACACTGCACTTCTAGAAGCAGTAGCTTATCCGTTATCACTCGCCATGATGCATATGCTTCCTCGCCGCATTGATTCAATGCGACCAGAAAGCGCAACACCTGAGTGGAACTTAGTGACCCGGGCTACCACTTGCTCCTTCTCCACCTGAGCCAACTAACCGTCCACCACATCATCGAGATAATTCATAACCAAAGCCTAGAGCCTACGTAGGCCTAGACCACCATTCACCGTCTAAAATCATCACAATCATCCAGCCCTACGAAAAAAGGAAAAAAAAAAAAAAAAAAAAAAAA